AATTAGATTTAACCTGGGGTTAAACCCGCATGCATAATTGTGTAGTGTATCCAGTCAAAACGGCACGCATACATATACGTAGGTACGCACCTCCTGGTGAGAGAGCACCCGCGCGGGTACATTTCTCTCCCTTTCACCCCGTGAAGGTAGATATAAAGTCGCGTCCCCAGAGCGAACAATCCACTGAATCCCTTGTTTGAAGCCGAAATGGTGGAATCGACAAATTTCATCATCGTCGATAACCGAAGTGAGAACAAATCAATCAGCACACCGTGTGACAGCTTTTTAGACAAAAATGGAAATTCCATTTTTAAATCGTATCATTCGCTTTACAAGCTAACGTACAAGCACATCTACAAATATAAAAGGATAACGTGCATCAGCACCGATGTGATTTTCAATGAGAACGGGGGTGCTTACACGCCGCTGTACCATTACTACTATGAAGACGTGAGCAGCCCCTGCTCGAGTCGGCGCGCGGGGGTCGACGCTGGGGCGCAGACCGAGGCGGAGGAGGCAAGCGGGGAGGTAAAGGAGCAACCGGCAGCGGAAACGGCAGCGGAAACAGCAGCGGAAACAGCAGCGGAAACACCAGCGGAAACACCAGCGGAAACACCAGCGGAACTAGCGGCGGCACCAGCAGCAGAACCGCACGCAGAACTGGACGACGCCGATAGCGACGTGGACGAAGTCACCTACAACGAACGCGCGCCCAAGCAAAAGTGCCTGAGGTACTCCTTGTACGAGTTGCTGCTGCTGCGGTTTTTGGAAGTAAAGGGCGACGCCCACACCAGCAACCCGGAAGAAGCCAAAAGTGAATACTGCTTCATCAAGGAAAATAAAAATAACAAGCCGCCTCTTAACAAATTTAACCGAGACAGGTTTGCCCCAAACAACGCCATGCATGTGATGACCCCAGGGTATACCTCCAGCTATGGCAACCACCTTAATTTCGCTAGCCACCCCAATTTTGGGGGTTTACTAAACGCTTCTTTGAACCCGAATGGGGGCGGAATCATCCCAAATTATGTCAAAGTAAGACCATCATTCAATGAAGAACACTACAAGAGCAATAAGCACCACCAAGGCTATACACCTCACATGGTAAACAGCTTTAATATTAGGTCTTTTAAAAATGTAGACAATAGTTCATACCACCTGCCTGAGAATAACCTGTATATTGACAACGAGGGGAAAATGCATCTAACTGGACAGGATTATTTTATGATCAATCAAAACCACTTTCACAACAAAATGGGAATGAACAATAAATACGATAAAGAGAAGAGAGCGTTTCATTTTTCCAATACTGGAGATGTAGGCGGTGGTAGGGACAGCTCTTTTACGCACGATTTCTCCATCACACAGGAGCAGTCCACGCCATTTGACCACCTCCGTCCACATAACCATCCTGACAGAAAAAAAAACCAAACCAGTGAAGCAGATCGATACTGGGATCACCCCTCACACTACGCCAAGCGAAACAACAATGATATATTCACCCTGGGAGATATAAAAAAGTTCTGGAAGAACAATGAGAAGGAGAAGAATCATAATTTCAGGGATCAAAACAACTACAGCATTTTTAAGGACAACGATGATGAGAATCTCACCAAAAGCAATTTCGCCAAATGGTTTAAAAATAATAATAATGCTACTAACCAGGAGGAGCCTGTAGATATTCTCGCCTACGTCAATGGTCATGGTGCTAGCGGTGTGGACACCGGGGAGGGTAAGAGCGGCCCGAGGGTCCTTGGCTCCGCGGCCAGGCCCAGCAGGAACATTGGGAGCGTTGGCAGTGTTGGCGACGTGCCGAACTGGGGAAGTGGCGCGAAGGCGGATGACGGAACACTGGGTGCACAGGCCGACCAGCCGCAAATAAGCGGAACCGTAGCGGAGCTGCTAATGAAGCAAATTTCGATACTGAAAGAGCGAAGTAGCTCGGAGTACGCCGAGAACAGTACTCACGCCGATGACCCTTTTGACAACACGTGGCACGCCACCGGAAGCAACGCGGACATGAGCCACCTTAGCAGCTTGGCAAATTTGAACCACGTTGCAAGTACCAACCACATCGGGGCCGGCCACAAAGGACTCCACCCAAGGGATGGGGGAAAAGGCCTCCTCGACATCTTCCGATCTAGCAACTCCAACCAGATAGCAAATGACTTCCCCTCTTTCCACCTTCCCCGTCACGCAAGCCGTGGGAACAGCGCCAACATGGCTGACGTCAACGTCCATAACTTGGCCAACCTCGCCGACGCCTCCAACATAGCGAACATCGCCAATATGGTTAATTTGGCCAATTTAGCAAATATAACAAGCAATGAACACTATAGTAGAAGCCACCAAAAGCACTACCCAGAGGATGACACCTTGGCTTATGGTAACCTCGTGGAAGACAGCGTCCACAATCATGGCGGCAACAGAAGGACTAATGACATGAGTACTCTGGATGGCATCCTCATCAATAGGAGAGCAGCTCACCCCTTTTTGCAAAACGATGGAAGTAACGTTAAAAGTAACTTACTAAGTAATACTATGGGGAAGAAAATTCACAGCGGGGAGAATTTCGCTGCATTGCATAGTGCCAACCAAGAAGGGATTAAAAATCAGGCAACTCCCCTGCAGGCCACTCCCCTACAGGCCACTTCTCCACAGGGCAGTACTCCCCAAGGCAACATAAACATCACTCCAATTATCAATTCGCTACTCCGTCTAGATAACGACAACACACACGGGGATAGCAGCGACAGTGTGGCTTACCACTTGGCGGATAACTCCATACCAGAGAGTATTAAAAACGCCAAGGTGAATAACGTCCTGGATTCGCTCAAATCCCTGCTCAAGGCGTCAAGGAATGGCACGGCGAGCGGGATGGGCGGGATGAGCGGCATCGGCGATATCAGCGGTATCGGCGGCATGCCCAGCATAGGCAGCATGGGAGGACCCCCTCTCGGTGGGAATAGCAGAAACTTCAGTAACGCCAGGGGAGGCCCCCACCAAAACAGCAAGAACGCCAACCATCACGCCAACCATCACGCCAACCATCACGCCAACTATCACGCCCAGCAGATGTATCCACAACAGCTGCACCCTCAGCAGATGTACCAACAACAGCACATGCAGCAGCACTGTGCCCCCCCAATGCAAGATTTTTACAAAAAGAAATTCACGAAGGACAGCATCAAATATAACTTCAAGCACGCGGACGTGGACATCACTACCAATGAAACTATCATGGTACAACAGAAGGACGAAAAAAAAAGGAAACCCTGAGGGGTTCATGGAGGGGAACACTTCTTCCATCCTTTGCCCTCCTTATGCGGAGTGGCGCAATCGCAGTCATCCCGATGTGGCTGTGTGCAGTTATCCCCCCGTGGCTGTGCGTGTGTCGCAATCTCTGCTCTGTCACGCCCCACTCCCCCACGTCCATCCCCCTAAGGCACTAAAGAGTTTGATCCAGAACCAGGAAGGGAAACAGTGAAGATGTGCCAGACTGGCCAAGCAGAGGAAGAGACGAAGAAGAGAAGGAAGAGGAAGCGGAGGAAGCAGACCAAGAGATCAAGTTGGCCAAACTGACAAAGCTGACGAAGCGGCTGTCCCCACCGCTGACGCCCAGATCCGAGGCCGCCTAAATAGCAGGCACCCCACCCCATTCGTAATTAATGACCAGCGCGTGCACTCGCATGCGCATTTATAACGAAAGATACGTGCGTTAGTACACGTACATACATGCGTATATTTATACATATATGCGTACACATTTTCAGACGTAATCCATTCACACGCACGCGGTTATTTTCCCACACGTGCGGAGATGCAATATACTCTGCTGTAGGGACATCCCGATCATCTTTTTTTTTTTTTTCTTTTTCCTTTTTCGTTTTTTTTTTCTTTTTTTTTTTCTTTTTTTTTCACAACCCATATTGAGATGCGTTTACCCTCCGATGGAACGAAAGGAAGATCGTCCTCTCTGGTGCACCACACCGAATGAGAACAAACACGCCACGCGGAGAGGTTTCCTTTAATATACCTTTTTAGCTAACTGGAATGGGCAAGCTGGTCAAACCTCGAGAGGGCGACTGCCGAACGTTATCAAAAGGGTGGCCTATACGTGGTATACACACAGCAGGTACACTATAGTAATCGCTTCGGCGAGTAGGGCAAATTGTTAAAAAAGGGATGCTGGTGGTGTCTCTTCATAGAAGACAAGAACGGAAAGGGGGAATTGCCTTGCATAATATGGACGACAATGGGTTAATAAAAATGACGAGGAGCAACTCCCCCTACGGCCAGCGAGGCATTACATGGTAGACGCGAGGGAAGAAAAAAAAAAAAAAAAAAACATGCGATGCGTATTCCGCGCAATGGTTACTCGTAAGCGGCTAACGAGGGACTACAGCAAATGGTCCAGCGCCTCAATTGGCGGCGCCGCTTCGAATTGCGGCGGGTTAGGCCATCCACTTGACATGAAACAACTCAAAGTTCGTGTTCATCAGAAAGACATGCTGATTGGTGCTGAAGAAGTAAATTTTATTAGGAACGTCGTGATCGGCAAAAAATATTTTAAACAATTGGGGGTCTTCATACGTCCTCACGCTATACACCTTGTGCAAGGTCCTGACGTCCCAAATTTCGATTAAGTTTCTCGGCTTGAGGTAGAACAAAATTGCCTTATCGTCCATCTGGTCTGCGCTTTCACCATGGCCAGTGAAGTTGGTTCCAGTTACATTCGTGCCAGTTACATTCGTGCCAGTAGCACCCCTCCCCCCCTTGGCCAAGTTAGCCGAATGACGTGGGCCCAATTTCCTCTTCTGAATAAAACTCATAAACGCTGATCGGTAACTCTTCCACATATGCAAAATGTTCAGCGTGCAAATGTTAAAGAGACATATCCTTCCTAAGTTATCCAATGCGAGTACTAAGTTTTGATTCCACGGACAGATGCAGATATCGATAATCTGCCTCTTCGCATCGTTAAAGCAGTGCACAATTTGTGTGTTCAGATTATCTGTTATGTTTCCATACGTATTTGGCATGCTGTGGTGTGGGATGACACTGTGTTCTGTGAGTTGTACCCCAGCGGAGGAACAGCCAGCACTAGGAGGGGGAAGTGACAGCGTTGTTGAGGCAGAACCTACTGAAGCTGCTACCAGCGGGGAAGTCGCCCCTCCTGAAGAAGCGGACGCCGCTACCATCGCAGCAGATGATGACTCACTTTTCTTCGTAAACATGTTTTTCAAAAAATTATTAATCCTGGATGTAAGCTTTTCTGATACTCCAAAATTTTCCTTCTTTGTTAAAAGATCATTAGGACCATTCTGTCGAATGAGGCAAAGTATCGAAATGGTCGTCGTCTTAGATGTCATTACATAATTGGCATTGGAGATTCTGTTGAACTGGGGATGATGTGAAGTAATCGCATCCGTGATGTACCTAGTCAAGTCATCCCTAGTGTAAATGGAATATAAGTCTTTCTTAAAAACATCAGGAGAGTAATTATTGTTTCTCAGAAAGATATGATTTATCGTAATATTTTTATTAACAGTGAAGGAATAATCCAGTGGTAAAACTTTCGAGTTAGTTTCGAGAGCCCTCTTAATCAGATAAATGTTAGTATTCACGACCGTGTTGTTCTCGTAGACCAAGAGAATGTATTCCTTATGTCGCTCGAGAAAAATGAATTTTATCTTACTGTCTACGAATTTATTCTGCATGCAGATGATGCCTTCATGATTGTACAGGAATACTTTGCCATTGTTCAGGCCCAGAATAATATGAGGGAAAAAGTTGTTAATAAAAAAAAGATTTATCGATTCGATACTTTCCTTCTCACTTAACAAAGGATTGAAGAAATTCAAATACACGATGTTTTTCTTATTCAGACAGTATACAATAAAGAAGAGATAATTTTTGTTGTGGAAATAGAAGAGCATGTTTATGAATTCTTCATCTCCGTTTTTCCTCAAATTCGGCATGTCCATCTTGGACTCGAAAATCATAACTCGGCAGTTCTTCGTGTTGATGTCTTCCTTCGTTATGCAGTAGTTCCCTTTCACGAAGATCTTGCTCAAAATTTTTATCAAAATTTCGAGCGTGAATACTTCTTCCAGCTTTATCATTGTGCCGAGGGCGGGTGGGAGCGGTCAGCTGTAAGCGGTAGACGATGAGCAATGAGTGGTCACCAGTGAGCGGTGACGCGGCGGAATGTCGTTACCTGCGAGGAAACGTGGCGTGGTCCCACCCTATGCACCGCGGGGAACTACCACTCTCTATGCGATGTCCCCCCAGCCATTATTCACCAACTCTCCACCGGAATGATCCACAACCGACGTGGTGTTACATTGATTGCATTGGATATGGGGTGTTCTTCTTTTCCCCCTCCCTCACAATGCTCGCTTCACCGCCCACTCCTTCCTAACTGCTTCTACCCCGATGTACTATATGGACGTTTCGGTGGAGAATATCCTTCCAATCTGTGCTTCTTGCAAAATGTTATTCTCCCCATTCATGTCATTTTGGCGCGTCATCATTGGTTGCTGCTCCAGAGTTGGAAAAGAGTCAGGAAAACCGCTAAACAAAGGTAACCACTGCTGAACAGGGGTAACCACCGCTGTGCGAGGATAACCACGCTGGCAACCCGTTAACGTGCGCCTCGCCAGAGGGCCAAGCGAAATCAAACTTTCCGGCCGGGTGAAAGGCGAAAAATTGGGCAGCGGCCTCCACAGCGAGCTGGAACTAAAACATTTGGAAAAATTCGCTATGCTTGCCGTTTTCAGAAGGAATTCCTTTCAGATTAAATAAATCCGCTGAGCTAAGCGTCCTCATACTATTTCCTCTTTTCCCCACTTAATTATATGCTGCAATTTTTTTTTTTTTTTTTTTTTCTTTTTCCCGCTTATCCGATTTGCGCACCCCGTGTTCCGTAACATACAAGCTGCAGAACAGTCATGGATTATTCCATGCGTGAAACATTTTGGTGCACGTTTATGCATAATTAAGCAGCCTTGCAGCCACGAGAACGGACGGATGGACGTGTTTTCCTTTTTTCCCCTTCCTACCGTTTGGCACCTCACCAGCGGGGTGATTCACAGGGTTGGCAATTTTCGAGGGGAACCCCTTGAATGCGCACACAGGTCCCCAAGCAGGAAAAGAACAAAAGGGGGTAAACTACATATTTGTAAAAAAGGAAGGTGGAGACAATTGGAAAAGGAAAAGATAAAATTTAACACGCTGGCATGAACTGCTTCCATCTAACATTGCGATAGGACGAAAGAATTCTTCAATCGGAAAAGGCCCCCTCCACCCATGGACGATGCACCTGCTTAAGCAAAATGATGCCTCTTCTCTATACCAATCAGCAGAAAGCGCAATGATGTATGCTTATTTGGCTTATAAGGTTTGAATGGAAACAGAGTCTCTCTGCCTGTACGCCGCCTTCATGACTGCGCGAAAATGTGCAGCGTGCGAGGGGACCCCTCTCATCTGCTGCGTTCAATTAGAACCAAGGAGGACCCACCACTCCCCACGACCAGCCCACACAGCACAGTGAGGAAAAAATCAATCCTCTCTGTGTATCCCAGCGCGTAGCCTCCCAGGTGATCTCCTACGAAAAACATATAACCCCCCTCCTCTGCGAACCAAATGAACGGAAAACGGGGTGACGATCAACGTGCGGAACACCCGCGAGTCCTGCTGTGTGTGCGCGATTCCTACGTAAGGCATATAGCTTCAAAGTAGACAAAAAAAAAAAAAAAATTTAATGGCATCGGATTGTGATTGATAAACCCGAGGAGATGATTCACGAATGTCTTTTCCCCTAACTTGGTTTCTTAAGCTTCTTTTTCTGTCCCTTTGGTTTCTCCATTTCCGCCTCTCCGCCTTTGTCTCTCCCTTTTCGGCTCTGCGGCCCCACTTCTTCTCCCCCGCATCTCCTACCTGAACTTTGAGGAAACCCCAAAGCGCTGCAGATTAGCCTCCCCGAGAGGAATATTTAATGACGCACCGATGAAGTAACGTGTCGACTATAGCAATGGCTAAGTAGAGGTTGGGTTGAGAGCGTCACCCCGGGAAGAGAAGAGATGCGCCCCTTCTCATCGCTCCCGTTTTATCATTCGGAAGAGCGGCATAACAGGGTGAACACATTTGGCCATGACTGCCCCCGCCACTACCACCCACATTACCGCCAATACAGGCAATACGACGAATACAGACAATACCGTCAACACAGACAATACCGTCAACACAGACAATACCGTCAACACAGACAATACCGTTAACACAGACAATATCGTCAATATAGCCAATACCGTCAATAACGCTAACCCTACTAACACTGCTAACGCCGCTGTCACCGATGACGCCTCCACCCCTTAGATCAAACGCGCAAACGAACTGATCCACCATGGCGGTCGCGAAGATCACCCCGATGAGCGATTCAAAAGGAAAAAGAAAAAAAATCAGAAAAAAACACTTTCTTTTTTTCTTGTTCTTGTTCCTAAGCGGGATAATCTGTCTGGGCCCTCCTACGTTTTTCACTTCCGCGAAAGGCATCAACATAGACGATACAAATGGGGTTAATCCCCCGAAGGACGACAAGCACTTAAGTGAAGATAACCAGAAGAAGAAAAAGCGGGGAGACCACTCAGACCAGTTTAACGACAAGAATGAAGGGAACAAAAGTGAAAATACAGGAGGAGGCTTCCTTGACCTATTTAACGAAAACAAAAATGATGAAAATGAGTACAAATTAAATTTCATAGATGGTGCTTCCCTTGAAAGCCATAGAGACATACTTAAAAATGGCACTTTCATATTTGACGCTATCAATTATTTACTTAAAAAAATGAAAGAGGGACCCGCAACTGCAGGGACCACAGGTTTGCATGCCTTACGACCTGGGAAGGATGCCGTCAGTGCGAATGAAATTAAAAGGTTAATCCTTATGAAGCTGCTCAAGTGCGTGGTGGTGTTAATTCTGCTCTACGTTGTTATTCGCTTGACCTTCACCTTCATAAAAAAACTTATAAATTTGATCATCGTGTTCATTTTCAAAATTTTAAAGCTTTGTTGCTGTGGGGGGAGGTGACCGCCCTGTATAAGTGCAAGCGCCGTGTGTAAGCGCAAGTGGCGGAGTGGACACCTTTCTACCTTTCCCAATCCGTGCTTTCCATGGCTCCCTTCCGTTGCACCACACACATGGAGAAACCCCGCTGACACGGTTGGGGGCTACGCCGTAAGTGACCCCTCTTTTGTTTCCCCCAATCCAGGTTGCATTGCTCATCATTGGATAGCTCCCCTTCGCATTGCTCCCCTTTGCTTTGCCCCGCTCCCCCTCGCTGGGCACATTTCCCCTTTGTCTTTTTTAAATTTAAAAAAATTATACTAAAGTGCAAATTTTTACCTGAACTTGCAACGCATCTGTCTTCACAATTGCGACGCGGTTACTTTTAAAAAACTAAAAAAATGGAGAACGACGTAAGGGCCAATGGACAAAGAAAATAAGAAAAAAAACGCCCAAATCAAGCATACAACAATGTTACATTAAAACTTATATTTTGGATAGACGGAAGAGGGACAGAATTGGGAAATCCTCAGCGCGGTATTTTGGGTAGCCATACCAGCGGGAAGTACACAATATGAACAGTAAAAAAAAAAAAAAAAAGAAAAAATCAAAAAAGAAAAAAAAAAATGCACACATGTTCAGGTGAAACATATTCTTTTTTCTTCCCCAATGCGTCGAATCTGTTAACTACATTGGAGTCTTCTGCACAAGGAGGCTTTTTCATCGGGGGGGATTATTTCCCCTTCTTGTGAGAAGCGCTATTTCCCGTGTCACGCTTTGTTCAGCACGAGCCTCACCTCGATCTCCTTGTTTCTCTTAATCCGACCCAGTAAAGAAAATCGATCCTTTTTATAAAGGAACTTCTCACTTTCTACATTGCATTTGTCATACATAAGTTTCTTCATCGATTCGTCCGAACAGAAGGAGTTCCTATTCGAGTTCTGACTGTGGGTATTCAATATAGTCGTGTGTTGGGTGCGGATTCCGGTGGATCCTCCCCCCTGTGCGCGTTCCTTTTTGGAGTCCACAGAGGAATTGTACGTGGGAGAACTTTTAAGAACCTTCCCACTGGGGGGAGACATTTTCCCATTCCTTCCACTCGGCTTCAGTTCATATGCATCTTCCCTTTTGTCGGTCTGTAGGACTATTCTGTTGGAGGCGCTGTTTGTGCTTGCTGACAATTTTGTAATCGCTTGGTTGTTTCCACTCAGGGCGCTTTTTCGGGTCACTTTCCCTGAGCCGCTCCCCCCTTCGGTGACATTCCGCAGGTTGTGGTAGGATCCGTTAACGAGAATCTCGTACTTGCTCGGAGCGCGCGCGCTCACGCTCCGAAGTCTGTGCACGTTTCTCGCACCGCCAATGCGGCCACTACTACCCATACCGCCAATGTCGCCCCTACCTCCAACACCAATGCTGCCATTTTTTATCCCCTCGATGATGATCTTTTTCCACAAATTGTAAGACAAATCCTTCTTCTTCCCCTTAGGGAGGTTTCTTGTGCTGCCTGCCCTAGTCTGGCCCCCAAGGGGGGAGTCACAGTGGTAATGCAAAAAAGCATCCACCTCCCCGTCCTTGTCCACGTTTCTGCACAGGTAATTGTTGTATCCCTTCTTCATAAGACTCACGTTGTAACCATTTCCGCACTTGCGGCTGCTTCCGTTTCGACTCTCCGATAGGAAGTAAGCAGCGTGTGTCTTGAGGTACGTACGAATGATGTCCTCCTTGATTTTGTTTGACGGGTCGTCTGCCACGGAAGGAAAGGCTTCCCTATACCTGGGTATTTTATTTAATATAATGTACCTCTCCCTGTTAAATTTTGCCTTATTACTAACACTTTTTCTTTGTAACAATTTCCTTCTCGTGAGCTGATCATATTGCTTCATTTTGTTACGTAAGCAGTGGGCCTTCTTCCATCTCTTCTTATCCTCCTCATTGTTGATGCTCTTGGGCAGCTTCACGTATTCGTTTATCTTTAGAACACTGTCTAGGTAGTCTCGACACTTCAGTTCGAATTGGTCAACATTGTTTACGGAGTGGTCTCTCCTCCGACTGTCACCGCTTGCCGCAGCGCCACGTATCGCGCTAAAGATGGCACTGCCCCTGTTGCTACCCTTCTTCCTCGTGCTGACATTCAACCCATTCGACGCGAACTCCCCATCACCATCCCCATGTGGATTACGCTTCTTACCCTTTGAGACGAACTTTACGGCTCCGTTTACGCTTCTTCCCAGGGCAACTCCTCCGGTGCTGCTTTTCCTGTCCTCCATACGTACCTGCGTCGTTGTACTGTGCCGCTTCCTCTTGGGAACTGCGTCGGGGCGTGTACACGGGCGTAAAAATGTGTGTGCATCTGTAAACAGGCTCGCACGTAGTGCTACATCAACGGTGTGCTTCTCCTATGGGGATCTTTCCCACAGTCGGCCAATAGGACCATGTGTGTGTATATATATACACGCCTCCCAGCTGCCAAGTGGAGAATAAAAAAAGGGGGGACCACAAGAATGTACAACTTGTACTCTATTGTTTTTCTTCTGGGGGGGAAACCTCTAATTTATTACTGTCATAACCACATGCTGTTTTTTTTTATAATATCTCATGTAATGGCCTGTACTATGGATCAGCCCTTTCCTCGATCCTTTATCTTCTTCCCGTTGCTGTGCGTATGGATATTAGGCGAGTTTTGCCTCTCTTCGCGAAAAACATTCTGGAAGCAGCGATGAGTCCACCTCCAACCTGATTAATGCCGCTTCCCCTCTGCCGCAGGCCCATCCACAAAAGTGGGGAGGTGGAGGGGTTCGGGAAAGGCGGGAGTTTCAAATGGGGCCCTACAAAAAAGAAAGACGCAACGTGGAGGAGGGATGCAAGGAGAAGCGAAGACTTTGGTGTTACCCAAATGGGGACAAACGTGACACCAGGAAGGGGAAACAAGAAAACTTAAATCAGTTTAACAATTTTTCCGTTGCGGAAAAAGCAGAATGTTGTTGTGCTCCGCAGTAGTGAAGGAAAAAAAAAAAAAACGGAGAAACAGATAAAATGCGCCAAAAAAAGAACTCCAAACCGTAAAAGCGAAAATGACAAAGTTCAAACTTGTGGAAACACAAAATGGTTAAAAGGATGGAAAAAAAAAGAAAAAAAAAAAAGAAACATATTCCACTGAAATGGAGGAACTCAACGTTGACAATTTTATTTTTTTTTTTTTTACTGACACAATTACACAGCTACACAACCACAGATTCGTTATCACGTTTCATTCTTCAGTGTGTAACGCATGACGTTGGTGGGGGGAAGGGTCAAAACGAAAGAAAAGAAAAAGGAAAGAAGAACTTACGAGGAAAGGTCGCGTCGAATTGCCCGACTTTCAGAGTTTAATGATCATCACATGCAGAGGTGTGTATGTGTAGATGAGTGTGCACGTGGAGTTGCCCTTTTTTTTGAAAAAATGAATATCCGCAAGGAAGTGATACCGGGGGGAGGAGAACAAGAAAAGTCACACAAGAACGCAACAAGCTTTTCCAAAGGATCAGCCTTGTCGCTGATTAGCTCGTGCGATTGTGCGCCCTCTCTGTAAAACCTTTTTTTTTTTTTTTTTTTTCCTTTTTCTTTCAATTTCTTCCAACACGGTTGCGGCAATTCCTTTTGATCACTGCAGGGGTGACAGTCGTTAGGGGTTACGTTGGATTGGGTTGCCTTCCTCCACCGCAGTTGGCTTTTATTCGTTGTCTTCTTCCCCCTTTCGCATGGGGTGGATTTCCATTTTTTTTTTCCTTCTTCCTCCTGCTCCTGGGGGGTACACTCGTGCTGACGCGGGGCTTTCGGGCGCTGGGAAATTCACCACGCAGGGGGGAAGTAGCAGCAAAGTCGCAGCAACGTGGCAGCAACGTGGCAGCAACGTGGCAAGAAGTTTGCGGCAATTTATCAACAAATCAGTGGCCAACTTTTTCAAACCTGCAAAACGTATGTCGGATAAACTGGTTCTGCTTTTTTTGCAAAACTGGGACATTCACATGCTTCCTTTTTGATACGCTGCCTCGCGTGTACGGGCACGGGCACGGATACTTTATCTTTGTTCCACCTTCGGCAAAATTCATTCTGCGTAATGGTGGATCAATGGGTGAATGAGCGGTAGCGATTACTGCTTCGGCTGCAATTATTTCCCGTTTTGTTCTTTTCTCTGGACGCCAATTGCGTAAAAAGTTTCTTAACATCACGCGTGAGTATCCCTTTACACAGTGGAGGCGCTTCCACTCTTCAAGTGTGGGATTGAATCTGCCTCCTTTTGCCCCACATTTGATGGGCTTATCTTTTTGACTCCCCGAGTCGCCTCCACAGGGGCCTAAGTGGGGATTCACCAAACATGCCTCATTCCACTTCATGCCACCTGTCATGTCGCGGGGTGTCCTCGCAATTTGCCAACCGGCCAATCGATCTACATTTCAAAGCCGCGTTTTTACAAATTCGTGTATAAACGTTTGGTGAAACTGAAGGGGTGCACGGATGGCGAAAATGGAGACTCACGTGCACGGGGGGGAGGCCCTGTTAGTACTCAGGCGCGTGCGCAACAGTCCTAGATGAGCATGCGCGTGCGGGTATTCGAAGCCGATATAAATACGCATAAAAAGAAGCATACATTGGAGGAATGAAAATATAAGCGCCGATGCGGACACTGGGATAGACGCACTGATGTAGGCACAGTTGTACATCCTGAGGAAGGAAACGATACGGGATAGCTTTCTGTGCCGCACGTGGACCTCGTGGGGAGAGAAAGGAACATGATGGCTTGGGGGGCAGGATCCGAAATTCAGCACAACCCCCCCGTAAAGGATGGCCATACCGCGCTGTTAAAAGGTAACAAGCACAGAAGCGAAAACCTCCTCCCGTTTAGCAGTTCACATGCCCTTCTCTCTTCTCCACCACCCCTCCCGCTTCCATTCAATCAATACGTACTGGGTAGGGGCACCAAGTGTGAAAAGGGCACAGACAACATCAGGCAGGGCTCCCCCATCCGGGTAGGGACGACGCTTAACTTAATTGGTGCCTAAACTTCTCTCCGGCGAAAAGGGCATTGCTTCCAAGGGACTCTTCAATCCTTAACAGCTGATTATATTTGGCATTCCTCTCACTTCTACAAGGAGCACCCGTTTTGATTTGTCCAGTTCGGAGGGCAACAACCAAATCAGCAATAAAAACATCTTCTGTCTCTCCAGATCGATGAGAAACCATAACACCCCAGTCATTCTTCTGTGATAGTAAGCAAGCCTCAATAGCTTCGGTGATGGAACCTATCTGATTCACTTTCAGCAGAAGAGCATTGCACGCTTTCTTCTCCAAAGCTTTCGTAATCCTCGTAGGGTTAGTAACTAGTAAGTCGTCTCCTACAATCTGGACGTCCTTACCAATGGATTCGGTCAATTTGGCATAATTCTCCCAGTCGTCCTGATCAAATGGATCTTCTATCGAAATGATGGGATATTTCTTTACCATATCGATGTATAGATTGACCAACTCAGCTCCAGTTTTTACCATAGACTTGTCATTGTTTGGCGTTTTAAAATCTAAGTCATAAGTCTTTGTATCACCTTGATAAAACTCCGACGCAGCAACATCCATAGCGATTTTCACCTTTCCTTCATAGCCAGCATGTTTAATGGAACTGACTAAAAGATCCAAAGCCTCATTGGCATTTAATATGTTGGGAGCGAATCCTCCTTCATCTCCTACATTGGTCGCATCAATACCGTATTTCTTCTTAATCTCAGACTTCAACGTATGATATACTTCTGCTCCGTATCTTAATGCTTCCTTAAAGTTTGGGGCACCAACTGGGACTATCATAAATTCTTGGAAGGCCAATTTGTTGCCAGCGTGGGATCCTCCATTTATTACATTCAAACAAGGGACAGGTAAAACCATCTGATCATTCTTCTTTCCTGCCAACTGGGCTAGGTATTTGTACAAGGATACCTTATTTGCGGCAGCTCCAGCTCTACATACAGCCATGGAAATTGCTAAAATTGCATTTGCTCCTAATTTACTCTTAGACCATCCCCATTCATTTTTGCTTCCATCCAATTCTTCCACCATCATGTTGTCGATTTTTTTTTGCTCCGTACAATCCAGGCCAATCAACTTGGGTGCTATGTGCCCATTAATATTGCTGATGGCTTTCTGTACACCTTTTCCTAGATATCTGCTCTTGTCATTGTCTCTTAACTCCAAAGCTTCATATATTCCTGTGGATGCTCCTGATGGAACTGCGGCTCGGAAGATCCCGACGTTCGTTTCGAGGTCCACTTCGACGGTTGGGTTTCCTCGGGAGTCTGCTCGGGGGGGAAGCGGCGAGGTGAGAGGAGCGGTAAAGTGAGGGGTTATGTGAGCGGTGAGGTGAGAAAAAAAACAACATAGCGGTGGCATCCACTAGACGAAGTACACAATGTACACTGTGCAGTTTTCCTCCGCTTTGTTAACGTTGCTCCTCTTTAGCCTCGGGGCTATGAGAAGCGCACTTGATAAGCATGCTCAACTGGATGCTATGCCACTGCGTATGGGTCACTCAGGGGGAGCAACCAATACACCGCGCATTCACAAATGGGTGCGGCGCATGTAGCGAATTAGTTACTAGCTAAGTGGCCAAATAGCCAAATAGGTAATTCGCTTGCCGACCTCTTCGCCCACACCACCCTGGTATTATCCCACGGGTAAAGGCGATCATGGGATGGCTACCCTATTCGATGCGCTCCCCAGAGGGACGACCCTCTGAATGACCCACGTGCAGTCACAAAAAGGGGGGAGAATAAAACACGAACAGCAGTGCCACCTCTGCCACTGCTTCACTTCGTGAGCATGGGCCTCCGTATACCCAAACGTTCTATCCCGTGCAGCTATATGCCAATCCGGGCATACGCACACACATTGCTACATCGCACAAAGGCTTACCCAAAATTTCACGGGCAGAAATACGAGTAATTACGTGGGCCATTTTTTTCTATGCCTGGATGGAAGGTATAAAAATAGAGGAAGAACTTCTGGGAGTAATACGTAAAAACGCTATCTCTATGTGGTAAAAATAATGCGCTCAGCGAAAAAATGATGTGAAAACAAGTTGAATGATGTTAGAGATAAATCAAAGGTATCTTTTTTTTGTTGTTTTTTTCTCCTGTTATTATGCGTGTTTTGCACGTTTATGCGATAATTTGTGGAGGAATTTAACTTACAAGGAAAGAAAAAAAGTATATTTTAAAAAGAATGTACATAAGAGAATAAATATCTTTTTAAAAAAAAAAAAGGTTATGTTACTGACAAGTGGAAGAAGTGTACGCCTTTTTAAATATAAAAAATTGAAAAAAAAGAAAAAAAAATTACCAATTCGGTTTAATTGCCCCACGTCATGATGGTGCACATATAGAATTATTATTATATGCAATAAATAGAGCCCATGTTTTCTGTCCGGATTTTTTTCTTTTTTTTGGTAGCTAAACAGGGACGACGGCATATTAATTTGCAGCTCCAGTACAAGGGGGGGTGTTCGTCCACATGGCCCAGCAATTTGGCGACATGTGGATGAGTTACCTACGCACCGTTTGTATGCACTGTGGTGAGAAAAAAGGGGTTAAAAAGTTAGAGGGGTGTGGCAATGTATTTCTTTTTTTTTTTTTTTGGCTTCTTCCGCCGTGGCATCATGGTCCCACTTCTACATCGCAAAGAGAGCATCACAACATGGAGGTCAATGCACTGTTCACGCATAGTACGCGATTTGAGGGGGGCTAATGTTTACGCTGAGGCCGCACGTTCACGAACTACGCATTCGTATGCTCCACTTTCATGTACCCCTATCCTCTCCTGCATACATCCTGCATGCAGAATCCTATGCTCACGTGAGCGCGTGGATGCAAAAGAACGCTTTCTGAATACGTATGCCACTGAAGCTATGCCCCACCTCCAGTACGCAAAAATGCCGCAACACACAAGTGGCACTCTTTTGGCGCACCCCTCCCGCAAAAAGAAAAATAATAAAATACTCTCGTTCGCTTAGAGGCACACGCCGCAAGCTCACATGACACGACAACAGGGAAAGATGCCACATATCGATAGAGTAAAATTTTCGTTTCTTACTTTTCACGCCAAATGAAACTGTTAAAAATGAAATTCAAATTAAGTACACAAAAAAGTACGCGTCACTGCTTTGTATCACAAAAGGGGAACATTTTCACCCCACCAGGCAAGGTAAAAACGGTATGCCGTGAAAAAAAAAAAAGAAAAAAACACTGTACTCTTTTTTATTCTGTAGAAGGAACATTTTCACCTGACCAGGCAAGGTAAAAGGCATTCTTTTTTGATAAAAAAAAAAATTATTATCGCTACCTTCCCCTTTGTGAATATTCCCCCCCCCCATTTATTTGCTTCTAAAAAGGCGATAACACATTGGGCAAATGCGTAAATGCGCAGATGGGCAAATGACCAAATTGCCAAACGGAATTGCATACTTACATTGTCTTGTATCACCTGATGTCAAAGTTGCCGTCGTGTGGATAGCGGATTTAAAAGGGGGAAAATAAGAAATAAGAATAGATATAAATATAGTTGTATGCCCTCCAACAGGGTCTATCCTCTTACATGGGATGAAGCATTCCCACCCCTTTCTGCTCGACATAGGTCAAATGACGGTCAACGGAGGGTATATACTCCTCACCCACCGCGCACGCCGAACTGCTTCGGTGTGTAAGAGAGAACACTCCCCATTCGAATGAACGAATTGAGAAGTTAATTGCTATAGACCACCAACACACTTTTCAGTGATACGTAAATATGTACAAGTACGCATTCACGCGGGGTAAACATGTCCTGTAGGAGGCCCTCCGTAAAAATGGCACATAAAAAAAAAAGGGAACAGGACGGCGACTTGGCAAAATTACCCCACGTCGTTCTCCACCCGTTTTGCAAAAATGTGGATAGAGTGCACCAACAGAAGGGTTGAAAAAAAGCATTTATCTTTACGCAGCATAGGAGGTGAAGGTGTGTTTTTTTTTTTTTTTTTGCATCTCCTTCGCATGAATGTATATATATGTCATTGTGCCTATCTGTGTGCCTACTTGTGTTCCTACGTGTGTACCTACCTGTGTTTGCATTTTTCCTTTCCTTACGCTGATGCGACGTGAGGCCGCTCAAAATGCAAATTGCGCAAGTCGAACAAAATGTGTACTCTCCTGTTGAAGTCCCATGCAAGGGGACACAATTTTTACTCAAATTTGGCATACGCGAGAGTAATTACGCCACAAATCCGCTTCATACCCACTGCGTCCCACTTTTATGAATTTCTACACTGAGTAGAGGATTAATACATGAATTAGCCAAGTGTTATTTATTTTCTTAATTTGTACATAACGTGAAAAAAAAAAAAGTCAACATTTGTACGTACACAAATTTGTACGCATGAACATCTGTACGTGTGTACGTTTGTCCTATGGATGTGTGCACAAAATGGAAGGGTAGAAGAGCGGCAGGAGGCCATTTAATTGGGTGTAGCAAGTTGTTCTCACAATTTGTTAAAAAATTGGGGGGAAGGGGACAGGGGTACAAAGATGCGCCCATAGTGGGATTATTTTAACTCCTCGCTTTCCATGCCGTGTGTGTTTGTGTGGGTCGTTCCAATGGGCACAACGGTGTCGCTTTGTGTCCTTCGAAAGGGGGTGCTTCTGACGATGCTCGTTCTGATGGGGCCGCTTCCCCGTGTGGTGACCCCTTCTCCCCCCAAGGTCGCGTGGCCAACAGTTAGAAGTCCTCGTCCAGGACGATCTGTCTCTCTCCGTAAATATCCTCCGCCTTCTTGACCGACTCCGCCTTCTGGTTCTCGCTAACTACGATCTGGAGTGGGAAGGGAAAGGAAAAAAGAAAAATCAAAATAATAACAAAATGATGCCATAATAATTGCAGAAATATACCATAAAAACTGTGACAGATTCCACTAGCGTGTCATCCAAATGGACGGTCACAACTCACAGCACAGAGTAGCCCCAAATCTGTAAAGCCAAACGCGCGTACCTTATTGAACTCAGGCCAGGTGAAGGGATACTTGAAATTAAAATACTTGGGGTGCTTCAAATTTACCAGCATGGTATCTGCTAGGTACTGCAGAAAAGACTTCACCTGCTCCTTTTTTATTTTCAAAGCGGACAGATCCAGCATCTCTATGGCAAACTGGTACTCCAGCTCCACAGCCATTTTGAAATAATCCAGAAGGCTTTCATATTTTAATTTGTTATTCAAATGATTGCAACACATAACGGAGAAGTCTCCATGGAGATATTCATCCCGGTGAATCTTCTCATGGACATTACACAAACAGGGAAGGATGGAATTCTCCTTACAATATCCGATGAGTATATTTAACGTGCCGTTGAAAAGAACCTTCGATATATAAATAAGGACAAGTTTGTTGTAAAAGGGGATATTTGTTTCGAACAATTCGGTTAGCCATTTTTGTTTCTTCAACACACTGTCTAGCTGTATGACTTTGTTGATGATGGCCCGTTTCTGCTTGGCGTCTGGGATGTACGTTTCGAAGATACATGCGTACACTTCGTCGTGGATATTTTCCATGCACATTTGGAAGCCGTAAAAGGCGCGTCCCTCCGGGATCTGAATGATGTCCAACATTCTGCTCGTGATCAGCGCCTGCTCCTCGTAGACGTGGAGGTCCCTGTGGGGGAGAGAAGTGGTTAGCGGAGGGTAAGTTAGTGACATCGTGCATGGACCCTATGGCGTAACGGCGCGCTTTGTAACATGCCAAGGCTTATTGCGGTTCGATGCGGTTCGATGCCGTCCGATGCGCTTCCATCCACTCCACTGCGCCCCGATGCCTCCCCGTTCGACTCACTTTAGGCTGTAGAAGCACATCAGCTCCAACAGCTTCTCGAGCATGCTCTTGTCAATGCTCTCCAGGAACTTCTTGTCCTTATCAAAGTTGTAGTCCTCGGCCGTCCAGAAGAGAGATTCTATCTCTTTGTAGTAACTCTACAGAAGGGGAGAAGCCAGAGAAGGGGTTAAACAAGTGCCACGTAAAAAAAAAAAAAAAATGCACACAAGAAAGTAGCACATGCAACATGGAGAGGGATAAGCCAGTTACATGCTTTTTCCCCTTTTTGGAAAACCTACCCAGAACGTTTTGTATTTGATGGGGAACATAACCTGCCATGGGGAGGAAAAAAAAGGGGGGCTCACATTATTGCTAATACTTTTGCCTGTCTGTACATGTGCATTTTCACAGCGACATGTACACCTCTGTTAAATGGTGTGAAGCTCCACCTTGAGCTTCCCCTGCTGTGTTTACACCTGGCCCCTTACCCATCTGAACTGGTTCTCCTTCAGAATGTCGTCATTGTTTTGGGCATCCAGCAGCACTTCCTGGTCGTGATAATGCTCTTTGTCCATTTTGGGTGACGCGTTAAAAAGGTATCCTCTTAGTCAACGTTGAATTCGCGTTCTAACAAAATTGCGGAAAATAAAACAAGGCTGTGCGTG